AGTCTCCTTGAAATTTATTTTCAAATATGCGAGAAAATCATCACTTTCAAAATAAAATTTTCTCTTCTCAATATCAAACTCGCATGAACTGTTTAAAACATCAATCCTTTTAAATATAAAAATTGACAACTAATATTTCATAAACTTCTTCACCAATTTTCAGGATTGTCTTTATTGAATAAAAGAGTATTAAAATTTATAAAAGCATTTTTCATCAATCTTGTAAGTATATATCATGATAATTTTAAGAGCTAAAGAAATTTAATCAAAAACAATAATCTATGTTAGAGAAACATATATTAATAAATGTAAATTTGCTGAAAATAATATTTGATAAAAGAAAATTTGCAAATATATAAATTGATTGGAACGTTATCCACTTAACTATAGTGCTTTCAAAGCTCAACTCACTTCTTACAACTCCAATTGAGCTACCCTTCACACAATTACCTTATAATATATAATAAGATCTTAATGAACTTTACTTTTGAACCAACAATTCTCTCTTTAGGAGAATTCACTCAAGCAGAATTAATAATTAGACTTTAAGTTTTAGCAACAAAATTACACATGAAGGTTTCTTCTTAGGCATTTTACCAAACATCTAATGTACAACATTCCGACCCATTTGATAAAACATTTAACTTGTAATTCTCTTGTCCCAACCATTTTCAAGCATCTAAATATGCCTTTTTAAAGTGATAATATACTTTATAAAATTCTAACTTTGTTACTCTCAATAATCTAGAGCTCAGATAAGATATCAATAACTTCCTACATAAACTCCCATGATAAAAACCCAATTAAATTTACAATTAACAATGTCAAAGCATTATCATTCATGTCACTAATTTCCTTTATAATACTTTAATCATACCAACCTATTTACTTGAGATAAAATTTTCTCTAAGTTTTTGCATCAAACACTTTAGGTGCATTATTCCAACCATGCAATTAAAATTTTTAATCTTCCAAACCTTTATCCAATAATTTATCAATAGCCATACTATCCCCAAGAATTTAACTAAATACATATGAATCCAAAACCAAATTCAATTCAAGCATTTTGTCAAACATCTCATGTGCATCCAGATTCAAACAAATACCAAGCCTCTTTTTCTTAATACCTTTTCAAACTTTCTCACTGTTAATATTTAGGTTAACTAATCTTCCTACTCATCATTCTTTCAAACAAATAATAATAATAAGCTCAATTAGAATTCAAATTCATAATATACCTAGCTTTCAAAATTTGAAAAATTCCAATTTGGCTAAACCTCTCTTCTTCTATTCGACATACACAGCAGCAAAGCAAGAGGAAAAATCACAATTTTTGAAATTTAAGAACACACATCCTAACAAACTCGTGACAAGAAGGGAGTTCAAAGCTCCTAAACTTTAATTAGCAGTGGAAGAAGTAAAAAGAGGAAACTAGTTGCATAACTGTTGGAGAAAAAAGAAGGTTTATCACACACCCACAAGGAAGCAAGGATTGAAGAGGAAGGAGTGGTCGAGGGAGATATTTCCAAAGGATGCTTTAGTAATGGACAAAACAGGGGAGAAAGAATTCTGATGCATCCACACTGTTACTCAAACAGAGGAGGAAGGAGAAGGTTGCGCGAGTATAATTCTGACACAATTACCAGTGGCTATTAGCTGAGTAAAGTAGGAAGGGTGATGCTGCAAAAGGAAAAGGGAAGGGAAATCGGTGCAGTACAGGGGAAGAGGGAAACTCACGGAAGCAGCAACAAGTGATGCACTCTAACATTCCCACATCGGCAACGTTGAAGTCTAAAGAGGAAGGATAGAGAATGCTATGGACATACTGGAATCAAAGAAGAGCAGAGGCGGTGGTTCTAGATTTTTCAAAAATGTAAAGGAGGAGAAGGAAAGAAAATGATGCATTTTTTGTGTGCATCTGACCAGCTGAGGAGAATATAAATATGAACCTTAGGAAATTGTAAAAATTACAAGAGAGGGCCCAATATTTTCTTCTAATTACAAGAGAGGGCACTTTAGTAATTTTTCCACAATCTTAAACTAAATGAAATTAATCTTTTTCAAAAAAAATTAAATGTTGGACTTTCAAGTAAGCTATTACACTAACTCACCCCTCTCTATTTGCCATAAAATTAATTTAAATAAAATATAAATTAGGAGGATTTTTTTAGGTCATTACAAAAATGATAGGAAAAAAATACATTTGATTGCTTAGGACACTGTTAAACTTAGTAAAAAAAGATAGTGGACTTAGGATAAAGGATTTGAAAAGGCAAAAGAAAGCTTTCATCATGAAACTTTATTGGGATATGATCACTAAACCAAATGCTTTGTGGGTGAAATGTTTACAGGCTAAATATAAATGTGGGGAGGATCATGTCTTTGATTAGGAAATATAAAAAAGAATCACAAATTTGGAAAAAGTATTATTGGTGTTTGGGATTCTTTCTCTAAAGGAGTTAATAGGAAAATAGATAATGACAAGTCCATAAATTTTTGGTGGCATAATTGGCTTGGCTGGGATAAACAACTTATTTACTTTGTCTTTACTAATGATAGATTCATAAATCATCATGACAGTTTGGCAAGTTTTAAGACCTAGGAAGGGCTATAGAATATGGATAGAATATACAATACCTTGCAACCTAGGTTATTAATGAAATTTTAAAGCATAAGTTTCTTAGGAGTAATTCTGATGATTCATTTTGATAGATAAATGTTTTTAAGGGTAACTTTTCTATTAAAGCTGCTTATGAGTTCCTTGAGCCTAAGGTTCAAGGTGTGATGAACAGCTTTTAGGGAAAACTATAAAAGTGGAAGATTCCTAAAAAAAAAATCTTCCATTAGCAAGTATATTAAGAGAGAATATTAACTAACTCTTATAGAGCTAGAAGAGGCCTATGCATGGATGATAGATGTCCTTATAAGTGTAACAGGAGTGAGAGTGTTATACACATATTGAGAGATTGTAAAATTTCCCAAGAGGTTTAGTCTTATTGCATAAATCTTAACCTTGTACAAAATTTTTTTGGTTTACCTTTGCAGGAATGGTTTAATTGGAATGTGAAAGTGAAAATTGCTATAGGAGATTTCAAAAAATGGCCCTGGCATAAAATCTTTAGTTTTATTTGTTAGGGTATTTAAAAGGCTAGATGCATATTCATTTTTCAAGGAAAGTTTACTTCTATCGCTGTGATCCTTTATATTTGCAAGCATGGGATCCTAGAAGATGAGGAAATGCAAGCACAATGTCAAAAGATATATTGTCTAGAGCCTTATGTCCAAGATTCATGAAAACCTCTACCCCATGATTTTCTTTGTCTTGATATAGACGAATCTGTTAATATACAAGGAAATGTAGCTTGTGCAGGGGTTCTACTTAACCAACAAAGAGAATGGATTCTTGGCTTTTCAAAAATGTATAGGTAAGGGCTCTTCTACTAAAGCTGAATTGGAAGGACTTAAAGTAGGATCACAGCTATGTCAAGATCATAAATTGGAAAAGATAAAGATCTACACTAATTCCTTAGAAGGACTACACTTAATAATGAGCAAACGTAATCTATCTTACCCTCTCATGTAGACTATATACCAAATACAAAGCCTTATTTGTAACTTGAAAGAAGTAGAACTGATTTTCTTATGATGTTAGTCTATTGGTTGTGCTGTTTGATTGGCTAGGAATGTGCATATGGTTGAGAAAGGATGGAGCCTTATGCTTCATGAACTGACTTTTTGTTAAGAAATTATGGCTAGTGATATGAGCTTATGCTCTAGCCATTAGGTTTTTTTTTAATTATTTCTGTTTCTCTTAGGCTTTGGCTTGCCATATGTATTCAAAAAACTGAAAGAAGAAACTAACAACTTAAAGCTGGCTGAAGTAAATGAAGATGACAACTTTTGAGAGTCATTGTATCTTGAGATGGGGTTTGGATTTGCTATGGGTTTTTGTGAAGTTTGTCATTCTCTTGTTCTCATCAAAGCATCAAAACATAAATTTTTTAGTGGGTGTTTTCACAAAAAAGAGTTTTTCCAATTTCTAAAATTTAACATCATTGGACTTAAGTTTAACAAGTTTTGATTTTGACATTGATCCTCAATAGGTCCTACCATTTCAACTTGAGACATTACATATGAGTAACACAAGTATAGGGCCTAATGTTCTAAAATGGCTATATACACAGCAGTCTCTAAAAGATCTAGACATTTCTAGATTAGGAATCTCAACAATTGATGCAAATGTGTTTTGGAGCTTTATGGCAAGAATTGATTCTGTTAATCTGTCACACAACTTGATTAGTAAAGACATATCTAATGTCATGCTGTTAGCCAATATCTCTCACTTTGATGCATCTCACAATTCTTTGTCAGGATCTATTTTCTCATTATTTTGCCAAGACGGGGAAAGGAATTTGAATCATTTGGACTTTTCACATAATGATTTGAGTGGGGAACTTCCTGATTGTTGGTTCAATTATAAACATTTACAATACCTTATTTTGAGGAGTAATAGGCTAATAGGTGAAGTTCCTCCCTCAATGGCTTCATTGATTGGTCTTATGCTCTTTGATTTGAGTGATAACAAATTCCTTGGCAAATTTTCATTAGACTTGTCAAATTGGAAATTTTCGGAACATCTTTTCCTAAAGTGAAACAAATTTTCTAGAAGTCTACCAAACATGATGCCAGAAGATATGAGAATTATCAAATTGAATGCCAACAAATTTATAGGAAGTATTCCATCACAATGGTGCAACCTTTCTCTTCTTAGGGTACTTGATCTTTCTAATAATAAGATTTTTGGATCAATAGCTCATTGCCTAAGTAACATCATACATCTATTTGGTGGATTTACGTTGATGCCAGATGAAATAAAGTTAGTTATTAAAGGAAGAGAATATAGTTATGATGAAGAACATGAATTCTAGATTAAGATTATTGATCTTTCCAATAACAACTTGTCTGGAGAAATTCCTAAAGAATTGTTTAATTTGACTCTAATGTTGTCACTAAACTTATCTAGAAACCATTTGAGTGAAAAAATTCCTAAAGAAATTGGAGCCATAAAAAATTTGGAAACTCTTGATCTCAGTTACAATAAGCTTTTTGGAGACATTCCTCACACCATATCTAATATTTCATTTTTGGGATGTTTGAATGTCTCATACAACAATTTCACTGGACAAATTCTATTAGGAACCCAAATTCAGAGTTTTGATGCTTGGAGTTTTGTTGGGAATCTTGAACTTTATAGAGATCCTCTTCCAAAGAAGTGCAATATAAAAGAGGAAACTCACAACTCAAAGATTGCTGATGGAAATGAAGATGATAACTTTCTAAAGTCATTGTATCTTGGGATGGGAGTTGGATTTGCAGTGGGCTTCTGGGGAGTATATGGTTCTCTCTTCCTCATCAGAGCATGGAGACACGAGTTTTTCAGTGGTTTTATCATTTGGCAAATCAACTTTTTGTTAATATGGTCCTCTGTTTCAAAAACTATGGTTAAACATGAGGAACAAATTGCACTTGAGGTAACAAGTTAGCTGCTATATTTTTTATAAGTATTTTTAAAAGAATGTTTATTTTCCTCTCTTTTCTTTTTCTTCTTAACTGATATGTGTTATATTACTTATGGTTCAATATGTTCTCTCTATGGGATGCAAGTGCAATAGGAAGCATAGAATTCAATACTATTTAGCATGGAATTCAAATCTTGATTTCTGCTTCAAGCAACTGGAAGCATTGCTTCGGATTCATATTGCCATGGCCTCTTATGTTTCCTTTTTAATGTCCTTTCAACATCTTAGCTATACTGAATAGCGGAGAATAAAAGAGATTTTGTAATAATAATTATAATTAAGGAGAATCGTACTGCAAACCCTAAAATAGCAAAAAATTTCACTTTAAACCCAATATATTCTGATATTGCACTGCAGGCTCAAAGAGCCCTTATTCCAAATATTCTTGAGAGTGAAAGCACAATTTTGTCCTTATGTAATTTGAAAATTCAGATCATGTATAACATAATGTCTATGGAATAATGTCCATAGATGCATAACATAACGTCTATCATGTCCAGTTGATCTATAAGTTAAAATAAAGTCATGATATTTATGAATTTTCAACACAATGTCCATGCATGTCCAGTTGATCTATATGTTAATTAAAATAAAGTCACATAGAGCATGTATAACAAAATGTTCATGGATGCAAAACACAATGTTCATAAATTCTCAATACAATATCCATATATATCCACATATGGACATTTAGTTGAGAATATATGAACATTGTATTGTACATCCATGGGCATTGTGTTATATATTGTGTGCATCACTTGTACATTTTATTAAACCTACTAATTAATTAGACATGTATGGACATTGTGTTGTGCATGATCTGTGTTTTCAAATCAAATAAGGGCAAAATTGTACTTTCACTCCTAAAAAATTGCAACAAGAGCCTTTAGACTTGTAGTGCAATAGTAAAATCTATTAGGCCTACAGTGCAATTTTTTGCTCTTTTGAAACTTGTAGTGTGATTCCTCCTTATAATTACTTGTGTATGTGTGTTCTCATGCATATGCTGTGTGAAGAAACTTTTAAGTTGAATGATATTTTTCCATTTAAAAATGTAAGGTATTTTTTGAGGAGTTGAATGTTAAAAAATATAAGGCATTTTTAGTTTTCCAATGTATAATCATTATCTTTTTTCCAAAAGTGCCCCTATCGAGTAAATTATTTTATATTTATTTTAGAATGAAATACCCTATTAAATAGGAATAAATATGAAAAGATAGAGTTAGTTTAAAGATAAGTAATTACTTTATTGGGGAATAAAATTCAATTAAAAATACCTTATATTTTTGAACAGATGGAGTATCTGATAAATGTATGGTTGTGCTTTAAACTTTAATCATTTTCTCTTTCAATTAATAGACTGTCATTTTATAATTATGTTACTTGTAATAATTCAAAAATTTTAGTAAAAAATTATATTAAAATATTTTGATTGTATTTTTATTGATTCTTGCTATAGATATAAAAAGAGGCAATATTGGCCAAGAAGTAATTGTGTTGACAATTCTTCCATCATGTCCTTGGTTCAAATCCTGTGCATGCAAGAGAGAAGTCTCCCTGTGTAACACCCTAAATTTTTCACATTTACTTTTTACAAATTATAGTTTAATTATTATAAATATTATGTTATGGATATCCATAACTTATAGCTTTTAAGATTCTTTTACCCTTAATATCCTCATGAATGGGATGAAAGGGGTTTTTTAGTCTTAATAACTTATAACCTTCAAAGGTTACATAACGTAACATTATATGCCTTTTTATATCTTTGTAACATTAAGGTAGGATTTAAATGGTTAGAGGCCTATAAATACAAGTAATGTCCAAAGCATATGTACACTAGTGAATAAGAATTTTTCTCCATTGTTTTATCTCTATTTCTTATATTGTCTTATTCTTCTCTACTCTTCATATGAATTATATTTTACAACACATTACCGGCACGAATTGGCTCTAAAAATAAGGTATGAGCTTTTAGTTAGATTAATGTATTATGATATTCTATACATAATTATATCTTATATTATTGTTCTATTAACATTCATGATTATGTTGTTCTTATATTTTATTGTTTTATTTTCCTATCATTTCATTTTCTTAGTTACAAAGTAATTTTACATTTCTCCATTTTATTTATTTAAAAATAATCATGTGATTCATGATTTAATTTAATCAAGTCTCATTTACCATCCATTGCTTTATTTTTATCATTTACCATCCATTGCTTTATTTTTATTATTTGTTATTTTATATTTTTATGAAGATTGATATAGTTATGTTTCTTTCTTTATATTTATGTATTTGATGTCTTCTTCTTCTTCTTCTTTTTCATCATCATCATCATCATTCATTTCTTTATTATTTATTTATTATTATTTTATTCCTCCATTAAATTAATACTATATATACACTTTGTGTTTGTTTATGTGTGTGTGTGTGTTGATCAATTTATATTGTTAATATAATTTGTTTTATTTGTTGATATCATATGAATTGTTTGCTTTATCTATCAATTATTTTCTTTATTGCATTTCTTTATCTTCATTATGCTTGATTTGTTTAGTAAGTTTGGTTATTTATATTTGTATTTCTTTATATTGTGCCTCTTTATCTTGTGTTTTATTATAAATTATATTTTATAATCTATTTATGATTATTTATTGTTTTAGCATATGTGCGTGAATTATTTTTTTAGTATAATATTTATTTATTATACTTTATTTATTAATTTTATCATAATTCTAATTACTATTATTATTTTAGTTTGAATCATGGCAAATCTTATCAAACTTGAATGTACAACTCTTGATAAGGCCAAGGCAATGACATTCCTTTATCATCATCTTCATGAAGGGTTAAAAGCTAAGTACCTTATAATAAAAGATTCACTGGAATTATGGATTAACCTAAAAGAAAGGTATGACCATCAAAAAATAATAATTTTACCTAAAGCTTGATATGAACAAATGCATTTGAGGTTGCAAGATTTTAAAATTGTAAGTGAATATAATTCAGCGGCTTTTAAAATAAGTTCTCAATTAAAATTATGTGGTGAAAAAATAAATAATGAGGACTTGTTAAAGAAGACATTTTCAGCTTTTTACCTATAAGAACTGTATTTTTATGATTTATTTTATATAAAAAATTAAAAATCTATTTCTTAATTTTTTGATTATGATTATTTTTTTTTTCTCTTCTATTTTTATTACTTAAATTATCAAGATAAATTGTATTGTTATTTTCTAATACTGTCGGTAATTAAATTAGTTACTTGTTTTCTATTGCATATATTTTTGGTTATCATTTTTACGTACTGTTATTATCTGAGGATGTTATTCATTGAAATTTTTTTTAGTATTCAGACAATAGAAGTGGACTTGATTTTCAATAAGTCTCATAAGACTCCTTGAGATAAGAAGTATTTGTTGCTTTGTTCACATTGTGGATTAATGTAAGTATTTAAGTATTTTTGTTTTGTTTTATATTCATTGCTTGAGATTTTGCCGAAATTTTTATAGCAAATTTGAATATTTTATTAATATTAATAGTTGTTTAATACAATTGACAATTATATGATGAGATTGGATAATGAATATGGTAGACATTATATGAGTTGGGTTTATGAAATATGAATTTGCTTATATTTCAGTCAATTACACTTTGAAAGTTTAAGGTGTGACATAACTGAATTAAATTTATTATCTTACAATAATTAATTTTTTTACGTGTGATTTTAACATAATTCTTTTTACTTTTTTTTTTTCTTTTCCCTCCTTTTTTGAGGCTCGTTTTCGAGGCTCTTAGTGAATTTTGTCTAATATGAGCCCCATTAACGGTTAGATAAACATATTTATTTATTAATTTTTGATGGAATATAAATTTAAAATTGTTAATTTAAATTTTAACAATTCAGACAGGAAAAGTAGGTGCCCGTAGCAGATACTAAATCCAAATCCTTTGATAGTTAGTCCATATTTTCAACCGTACGCATACTTTTTTGCAATGTTCAAACAATTCGGCGGTGGAATTGACTTAGAAGATAGGGAAGGAACCTGGCTTGCGGGTACACGAAACTTTATGAGGAAGACTTTTCAAACATAATAAATATGTGTGCCCCTTTTGCTGAAAATTGTAGTGTTCGTGATATGTGATCATGATATGTATTTATATCACACAAACTATTTTCTCATTTTTGGTGGCATTCATGAAAGGTTGTGTTTTTGACTTTTGGCCTTTTATTCATATTTTGAAATAATTTGATTTTAAAATAGTCCGAAGTTGATGTTTTAAGTCCTAAAGTGTCATATTCCCGAAATATGAACCAGCCCTGCCTTTTCAAGCGTCAAAAGATTTGGGTGCGGAATTTTTCCCCCCTTATTTTCTAGTGTAATAGCCGCAGAAATAAGATAAAAAAGGTATGTATCACTCATAACAAGTGGAGAATGGACTTTTCAACCATAAATAATTTTGAGTTGATTTGGAAGGAAGATTATATTTGAGCATTTTGGACTATGATAGTGGCGATATTATTGTTGTGTTTGTTGACTGTTTTGTATATTAGCTAGTTGTCAGATGACATATTAAAGTTGACTGGTGAAATTAATTTCCCTACTCATTCCAAGAATGAGTGCCAGGAGGAGCACATGATCAGATTTGAATAATTCAAATTTAAATTTAAATGGTTCACATTTAAAGTATTATTATATATTTTTATATTATATTTATTAAAATAAAATTTATAAAATAATCTTAATAATTTTTTTATTTTTCATTTGGTCTAGATTTAATTTAGAGGATTCAATTTAATATTAAAATTTTTATAACTGATGTAGATTAATTTAGAGGATCCAATTTTTATAATCTTAATATACATTAATCATAAAAATTTTAATATTAAATTGGATCATCTAAATTAAATCTAGACTAAATTAAAAATAAAAAATTTATTAAAATTATTTTATAATTTTATAAATTTTTATTTAATAAATATAATATAAAATAATATTTAAAATTTGGACTGTTTAAATTAAAATCTAAATCTAAATGATTTAAATCTCATTTAAGAACGGGCACATGCACATGCTAGGGAAACGATCCCGGCGGGGAATAGGGTGCTCCCTTTAAATCAAGAACAACATTCATGCATGTGTGTGCGTAAAAACTAAAAAGAGAAGCCTTGGTCAAGGAAAGGGATATGACGTGAGCTATCACTATTTTAATGCATTTGAATATTAATTTGTATTTAGTTCAGCATTTCTAGGACATATATACCAGTAAAAACAGCATATATATACATACCAGTAAGGACTTCATCATCGTGTTCATATTCTACAGAAACAACTGTGATGGTGAGCTTCACTTCACGAGTTTCATTTACTTTGTTGCTGCTTCTGCTATTTGCAATGACATTCAATAGAAAAATATTTAGCACAAGCAGCTCGCTGGTTCGTTGCAATGAGAATGATCAAAGACTACTTTCAATCTTCAAAAAGGAGTGGTAGATCCTTTAAACCGACTCTCCTCTTGGAATACTGAAGAAGATTGTTGTTTATGGGAGGGAGTTCAATGTGACATCACCACTGGCAGAGTCATGGATCTTTCTCTATCTGATCGTGGATTACAAGGTGAGATTAATCTGTGTCTCCTTCAGATTCAATTTCTCAAGTACTTGAACTTGAGCTACAATCACTTCAAAACTGTGAGTATTTCACCATGCCAAGTCTCCCAATCCCCAACACATAGATTCCACAATCGATCACTTGCTACTGTGTCAACTCAACAAGAAAATTTTTCTGCTACTATACATTACCTTGACTTCTCATATAATTATGATTTAGTCATAAATGATCTTCATTGGCTTTCTCAGATTTCTTCATTAAAATATCTTGATCTCAGTGCTGTTGATATTGGAAGTGAAGCCAAATGGCTCCAACATACGGGAATGCTTCCTTTGTTGTCTGTGTTGCGCTTGAGTGGTTGTCGGCTGAGACATTTTCCATCCCTCAACTATGTTAATTTTACATCACTTGTAACTCTTGATCTTTCTGACAACCATATCAACTCACTGTTGCTTGCTTCGTTCTTCAATGTCACCAAAGACATCTCTGTTCTTGACCTCGGCTCGAACAATTTCTATGGTCAAATACCAATAGCCTTATTCAAGCTTCCTTACTTAAAAAGGTTAAGCTTGAGGTATAATCAACTCAGAGGATCACTTCCAGATTGGTTAGATCGGCATGAACATTTGCAATATTTTGATATCTCTGAAAATTTGATCTCTGGTCCAATTCCTTCATGTTTTGGAAACCTTTCTTCCTTAGTTTTCTTGGATCTATCAAGGAATCAATTAAGCGGCAATCTTCCAATAAGCTTTGGACAAGTCCATAGCCTGAAATATTTAATCATCCGAGGCAATTCCTTCATGGGTGTCCTCGCAGAAAAGAATTTCGCCAATCTCTCAAGATTAACATATTTGGACTTAAGTTCAACTGGTTTCAAATTTCACTTTGATCCCAATTGGGTCCCACCATTTCAACTTGAGTCTCTGGATGTGAGTAACACAAGTCTAGGTCCTAATCTTCCAGCATGGCTATATACACAACGGTCACTACGAGGACTAGACATCTCTACATGTGGGATAGCAAATATAGATGAAAATGTATTTTGGAGCATTGTTTCAAGAATTCATAGTGTCGATCTATCAAACAACTTGATCAGTGGAGACATATCCGATGTGACATTACACTCATCATCTATTTCTTTAGACAACAATAATTTCACAGGAAGCCTCCCACACATATCATCTGACGTATTCTATGTTTCAGCATCGAACAATGCTTTCTCAGGATCTATATTCCCATTGTTGTGTGATAGTAATGCAACAGAAGTGTATCACTTGGATGTATCGCACAATCATTTAACTGGAAAACTTCCTGATTGTTGGACCAATTGGAAACAATTAGATCACCTTAACTTGGGGAGCAATAAGCTAACAGGTGAAATTCCTCCCTCAATGGCTTCATTGAATCATCTGCAGGGATTGAATTTGCAGAATAATAATTTTTTTCGGCAAATTTTCATTGGACTTGTCGAACTGGACGAATTTGGTTTACCTCTTTCTAGAGCGAAATAAATTTTCTGGAAGTTTGCCAAATTTGCAGCAGAAAAATTTGGTGGTTATTCAATTAAGAGCCAACCAATTTACGGGTAATATTCCATCTCAAATATGCAGCCTCTCAACTGTCAGAGTACTAGATCTTGCCGATAATATGCTTTCTGGACCCATACCTTATTGCTTATATAACATCATGAATTCATATCCTACTGATGATATTTATCCGATAGAGGCAGCGAACTTGGTCTCTAGAGGCAGAGAATTGAATTATAATGATGCTTTTATAGTTAACAGTATTGATCTCTCTTCTAACAACTTGTCTGGAGAAATTCCTAAAGAATTGTTTGGGATGACTCAATTGTGGTCCTTGAACTTATCTCGAAACCAATTGACAGGGAAGATCTCTAAAGAAATTGGAAGCATGAAAAATTTGGAATCGCTCGATCTCAGCTTCAATAAACTTTATGGAAAAATTCCTTCGACAATCTCTAATTTGTCTTTTCTTGCTTATTTGAATTTATCATACAACAATTTCAATGGAGAAATTCCTTTGGGAACCCAAATTCAAAGTTTTGAATTGTGGAGTTTTGTTGGCAATCTTGAACTTTGTGGAGATCCTCTTCCAAAAATCTGCCACAAGAAGGAAGAAACCGACAACTCAAAGCTAGATGAGGAAAATGAAGATGACAACTATACAAAGTCATTGTATCTTGGGATGGGAATCGGATTTGCAGTGGGCTTCTGGGGAGTTTGTGGTTCTCTCTTCTTCATCAGATAATGGAGACACAAATTTTTCAGATTGTTTGGTCATCTGGTGGATCAGCTTTATGTTTTTGTGACCCTCAGGTTCAAAAGTTTCCATTGAACATCAAGAACATTCTGTGATGTTGAGGTAATGATTAGCTATCATATAATATTAAGAAAACAAACTGTTGTCTTTTATATTTCTTTTTATTCATCATCATGCCAAATGAATCATAACTTATTTCGTTTTATCTTCTTTTTCCTGTTCAATATGTTCTGTCCGCGGCATGCAAGTGCAGCAAGAAGTAGCAAGTTTATTTGGTACAATGAGTGTGGAGCCTGGTTTAGTTTTACATGTCATATCTCTATCTTAAATTTGTGAATTGATGAAGGAAGAGTTTACGTAATAATAGTTATTAGAGTACATGCAAGAGTTCTCATGCCACATATCATTGTATTTTGAACCTTTTATCTTTTTTCTCTTGAATGAAATGCTCCTCTCTTTCAATTCAAATTTATCTGAACCATTGAAGAAACAGAGTTTGTAATGTGGGTTCACATTTTATTTGGCTCGATGTGCCTTAACTGGATGCGTCAGGTGTGTTCGGATTTGAAAGCTTAGGAAATTTATTATCTATAAATGTTAGAGGAACATTTTGAAGATGACCCGACATTGAGGAGAATCTAGTAGAAGCTTATTCTTCTGCATTTCGAAGAAGACGATTTTGATTGAAATAGACTTATTTATAAATAAGCCCCTCAAAATTATAGTTAAATCCTTTAAGACTTAAGTGTAATTTAAATTTAAAGTACAAAGACAATAATAACTCATGTCAAAAGTACATTACATCAAAAAAAAATTTATAATTATTTTATCAGTAATTTACAATTATTATTTCAAATTTTTATAACTATAACTTTACATATCAAATAGTTAAATTGATCATGCCTTACAAGTTTGATCTAATTATATACAAGTATCTCATTAGTAATTTACAATTATCATTTCAACATTTTACAACAATAACTCCATATATTTTATAGTTAAACTGATTATGTATTGACAATAAAGTTTAGAATTAATTGTTTACAACTATCATATTAATAATTTACAACTCACACTTCAATATTTTACAATCATAACTACAGTATTTTTAATAGGGATAATATTGTTTTTGTACTTCAAATTCAAATAACACTCAAATTTTAAGAGACTTTTCTGTGGTTATTAAATTTCATAGAACTTATTTATATATAAATATGCTCCACAAGATTTATACATAAATTTTCCAAATAATCTATGAATTTCCTAGACGTAGCTACATATTAAGTAACCAAATTAAAAAATAAAAGTAATTAAACTATGTCTATAGCTGTTAGCTTTGCATGCGGAGTCAAACATGGCGTTCTGTGACGTACAATGGAAATATTGGGAAATTATTATTCACTTTCATTTAAAAAAGAATAGCAATTCCACCGTTCAATTCATCAAAGCATTTTCAAATATTCATATATTAAGTTTAATTTTTTAATTTTTAAAAACATGATTGAAACAAAAAAAATTATTTGAAATTAATGATGTTAAAGTTAATGACAAAAAAGATACTTTTTAAAATTAAGAACTGAACTAAAATTTATATAAAATTAGAGGATCAGAAGCATACTTCAGCCTTATTTTATATTGGGCAAGATACATAACATTATATACTTAATATACTTTTATTCAACCAAATCAAAACAAGTGAGTTTTAATGTGTTGATAATATTAATAATATAATTTGTTATAGAATAAATAATCTATCAAGGATACATGTTTTAATTTAATTGAAAAACAAGTGTTTTAGATAGCTAAATATATACTCCCCCCATTAAAAAGTTTAAGTCATTTTTAAGAAATTAAATATTAAAAATATAAAGTATTTATAGTCTTTCGAGATGTAATAATTACTTTTTTTAAAAAAAAGTGCCCCTATTGATAATAACTTTATATTTATTGTAGGGTGTTTAATAGAGTAAATAAGAAAAGATAAGTTAGTTTGAAAGTAGGTAATTACTTTATTGAAAAGTAAGATTTGATTAAAAATGCCTTACATTTTTTAACGGGGAGTAAGTTTTCACCTTTTTTTTTGTTACTGTTGGGTACTAGGATCTGTACATGCATTTTATGTACATGGAATAAATGAGTAATCTAAGATTCTAAGTTATATTATTGGATGATCTTATCTAACATTTTCTAATTAATTTATCTAATAAATAAAACAATCCCATTATAAGTTAGGATGATATAATTTTATTGGAACTTAATCATCCCATATCAATCGATTTATTCACCACATTTATAAGGATATGTTGTTTTAGGCTAATAATACAGCCAAAACTTAGAATTAGTATAGTTGCAAATTCCATCAATTTGGAACTTTAATACAAATCATATCCAATGGTTCTAATGTGGACTTCACGAAACACAGTTTTCCCCAAACCAGATCCTGAGCAAAATTTGTGTTTCTGATTTGAAAACAGAGTCTATTCTCATTTGCTTCTAAGTTGTGTTATTCTTCGTGTGAATGTTTGAGTCAGAATGTTTTTAATAAGATGAGGGAAACAAGAAGAGAAGAGCCAGAGCAGAGTCAGGGACACTAACAAATGCATGGAAGACCGACAAGACCAACAATGCTCTGTCTCATTCTCCCTTCTTCGCTAATATCATTAAAGCAATATGATTTTGCTCAAAATCTTGTGGTGTTGGCTTAGTACTAGGTGATTATTTGCACTTTGATCCTAATTAGGTCTCCCCCCATTTCAACTAAACATTTTGCTTCAGTAAATACAGGTTTAGGTCCCAATTTTCCAGCATGCATGGCTATGTACACAACGGTTGGCTTCAAGATAAGAGATTTCAAACATTGATGCAGATATATTTTGGAGTTTTGAAGCACGAATAGATGGTGTGAACTATCAAGAAAAACGATCAATTGTTTGTAACCTAATTAACCATCTCCAAATTAATATTCAAATGCCAACAAAAATGGCCTAGATAAACTCATACTATCGTAGACTCGCACTAATAAATAGCTATTATTAGACTTCAAAGCCATCAATGCTCTGTCTCATTCTCCCCTGTTTCATGACGTCCGGCGAAGAACTTGTGTAATGTCTGTGATGAAGCCCACTTGTCCCACTTTGTCTCCTCCTTCGTGAATATAATTGAAGCAATAAAATTTTATGCTGTGTCATGGATTGAATCCATTAGTTGCTGGCTTCATGGATCTAAGGCTACTGAATAACAGAGCATGAACTCTTAAAAAAAAAAAAAAAGGTGGGGAGTAAAAGTTCGAAGTTCGAAACAATTTTTGTCTTTTTTTCACTGTTAAAGTTTGCATGGTAAAGTTTGCAAGGTTATATAAAACAGCGTGTACGGGTGGTGTGTAATTACAACTAATCAAAAAGTGAGTTGATCCCCAGTTCAACTTTCTTTTCTTTTCTTTTTTTTCTCCCTCGTCGTTAGTAAGTCCATATTTCCAACTCTACATCTACTTCTTGAAATGTTCGAACAATTCATCTGTGGAAATTGAAACAGAAGATAAGGATGAAATCTGGTTTGTGGGCGCCATTAATGAGCAGACGAAAATTTCGGAGGAAGACTTTTCAAACGTAATACTTATGTGTGCCTTTTTGCTCAAAATTTTTTGGTGTTCGTTTATACTTCTTCTCCGTCCTTATATATAAAATATTTTTAATCAAATAATATAAATTAAAAAATTTTATTATTTAATAAAAAGCATAACAACATTCAATTTTATCCTAATTATTATAAATAAAATAAATTTTTTCAAAGTAAATTAATGAAAGTATTTATTTATTTTTTCAATTTAATAAGGATGTAATGGTCTATTCATTAAAAAAATACTAATAATTCCTTATATTTGGGATAAAAAAATTCTAAAAAACTTAATATAAGAACGCAGGAAGTAGGTGATATGCGATCATGAATGCATGTATATCACATAAATAGATGTGACTGGAAAGGTTCAAAAGACTTGAAATTATCAAAAGACTTGACAAGCATGTTATTTCTAATTGTATATATAAATTATTTCTAACATTTTTATTAGAATGAAGAAAAATTTTAAAGTTTCATTAATTTATCTAAAACCTTGATAAATTTTCAATTTTACTTCTAATAAATATACATACTTTAGTAATAAAATACTTTATTATTTAATAACTTTTTTAACTTTTGATAAAGCAAAAGAGTAAAGATAAACACAATCATTGAGGTTTGAGGTGCTTTATAAATAAGATCAATATAAATATTCTCTTTATCTTATAAATATGATTAGAGTGGTATGCAATATAGGTAAGGGGGGCTTCGCAACTTGTATATACCATGTAAAGACTTTGTGGAGATTATTCTACTCAAATGAAACACAATGAGGAGCTTCCTTTCACAAACTTCATTTGTGGTGGTGTTGTTTCCATTGGCAACAACACTCAACAGAAACTTATGCAATATAGGCAAGGAGGTTGGTGCATTGAGAATGATAAAAAAAAAAAAAAACTTTTGATCTTCAAGCAAGGACTGGCAAATTCTTCAAACCAACTCTCCTCATGGACTAGTCTAGAAGATTGCTGTTTATGGGAAGGAGTTCACTGTGGCAACTTCACAGGAGAGTTAGAAAGCTTGATCTAGCAAATCAAACATTACAATTTGAGATTGATCTATCTCTACTTCAACTTGAATTTCTCAACTATTTGGATTTGAGCGATAATTTTTTCACGAGTGTGTGTATTCCACCATGCCAAGTCTCTAAATTTCCTCTATATAGAGACAAATCGAACAACCAATCATCAGCCAATTTTTCTGCTCCTCTTCATTACCTTGACTTTTCAAATAATATAATGGAATGTCATTAAACGATCTTTATTTGCCTTCTCAACTTTCCTCATTAAAATATTGGAAGTGAACCCAAATGGCTCCTGTATATGGCTATGCTGCCTTCACTATCTCAATCGTACTTGTGAGTCAGGAGATTTTCCATCCTACAACTTTGTCAATTTTACGTCTCTTAAAACTCTTTAAGCTTTTTGGCAACAATATCAGCTCAGAATTACCTAATTCATTCTTCAATGTCACCGAAGACATCTCTGATGTTGACCTTGGTTACAACAATTTCTATGGTCGATTGCCAATAGCCTTGTCCGAGCTTCCAAAACTAAGTTATTTATTGTTGAACAATAATAAATTAGAAGGATCAATGCCATCTTTTGCTGGAAATCTTTCTTCTTTAGTTTCCTTTGATATGTCATATATACAATCTCTTGAGTGGCAATCTTCCGGAAGCCCTCGGTCAACTCCATAACTTCAATTATTTGAGGTAATTCCTGGGCGGGTGTCCTTTCAGAAATTTTTTTTGCCAACCTATCAAACTTAAAATCATTGGAGTTGAGTTCAACTGGAACTGGTTTCAAATTTGACTTTGATCCTAGTTGGGTCCCTCCATTTCAACTCAGACATTTCTATTCAGAAAATACAAGCTCAGGTCGCAATTTTCCAGCATGGCTATATACACAACGTCTTTAGAAGCGCTTCGGATTCCTAGATCTGAGATTTCGAACATCGATAAGAATATATTTCGGAGCTTCATAGCAAGAATTGATGAAGTTGAACTATCAAACAACTTGATGAGTGGAGACATATCCAATGTGAAAATATACTCAAAATATGTCCATTTAGACTATAATAATTTCACTGGCGGCCTCCTACACATATCAGCAAATGTCGTTGAGTTTCGAGCATCACATAACTCCTTCTCATCAGGATCTATTTTCCCGTTGCTATGCCCCAGAGAGAGTAATAGGGAAAACATGCTGTCTACTTTGGATATATCATATAATCATTTCACTGGAGCACTCCCTGATTGCTAGGTCAAATGCGAACGATTAGAATATCTTAATTTGAGGATTAATAAGCTATATGGTAAAGTTCCTCCCTCAATGGATTTATTTGAAAATCTTCATTGATTGTATTTGTCTGATAATAGTTTCTTTGGCATCTTTTCATTGAATCTGTCACGCTGGAAAAATTTGGAATGCCTCGTGCTTGAGCGAAATAAATTTTCAGGAAGTTTGCCAAAAACAATGCAACAAAATTTGATGGGTTTCAAAGTGAGGGACAACCAATTTATTATCAGTATTCCAAGACGGCTGTGCAATATCTCTTCTCTAAGAGTAATTGATCTTGCTGATAATGAGCTTTTAGGATGCTTGTATAACTTCATGCATTCTTCTCCTGCATCTTTTTGGGATGAGGAAACAAATTTATTTTTCTCTAAGGGAAGAGAATTGGATTACCTTGGTGTTCCATTGATGCGTAGTATTGATTTTTCTTCTAACAATATGTCTAGAGAAATTCCTGAAAATTGTTTAACTTGACTCAACTGTGATCCTTGAACTTGTCTCAAAACCATTTGATCGGAAAGATTCCAAAGAAATTGGAAGCATGAAGAACTTGGAATCTCTTGATCTCAGCTTCAATATGCTTTCTAGACAAATTCCTATGATCATTTCTGCTTTGTCTTTTCTGGATTATTTAAACCTATGATACAACAATTTCATTGGACAATCCCATTGGGAACCCAAATTCAGAGTTTTGATTCTTGGAGTTATGTTGGTAATGTTGATCTTTGTGGAGATCCTCTTCCAAAAAAGTGCGGCAACAAAGAAGCAGCCAATCACTCAAAGACGGTCGAAGGAAATGAAGATGATGACTTTCTAAAGTCAATGTATAAATAAGAGTTGTAAGCTAGAGGACAAGTAGGAAGATTTCGGTTTTTCTTGTTTCTTCTCTTCGATAAGAATTGGGATTTGAAGTGAAACTAGGTGGCTCCCGTTTGTGATCTTGATCTGTTATAAATTTTATATTTACATAGATTTTCCTCATACATTGAAAATATCTCTCAAATTATATAATTAATTCAAGTAGGTAACTTTTGATAGAGTAAGTCTGAATCTGAAAATTTATTTTAATTTGAGTCTCTTAAGTTGTAACAAGGTGATATTTTGCCTTTGAGGTTGTTTCAAGGTTTTCGTATAATTGGGCAAACCTAATTCAATGATATAAATTGATTTAGGTAATGTGCTCATTATTAAGGTTTGGTTCTTGATTAGAAGCAGAATTTGAATGTAGAATGGCCCATTCTCCCTCTGGTTTTTGTAAAAACATCTAAAAGGGTATCTTTTGATTATATATATATATATATATATATGCAGCAAATGAATTTAGTGGACGTGGATTGGGCTTTTCAAAGCTTACTCTTCTTCAAAACACATTCCAGCCTTCCATGTGAATATAAAATTAAATGGATAAATTTACCTAATGAATGTAGTATGGATGGTAATGGTCTAAATCTCTTAATTAAGCATCATTTTAGGGTACGATTCTTGAAAGTATGTATGGACAAATACCATTGTTGATGTGAAGATCTTATTAAAAAGTTATTTGTAAGGATTTTTTAAACTTAGAGCATGTTTTAATCATGGTATAACCTTCTAGAACTCAATTCAGCTAGACTTTCTTAGAAAAAAATAAAAGAGTAAATTTGATGGAGATCGAGGGAGTCCAAAGTCATTGATTCCCATTGTGGACTTCATAAACGGGAAGTTACGACTGATGAAGTTTCCTGGCTGATGTTGACTTGTCAAAGCATTATTGGATTAGTGAATGCAAGTTCTGTAGAATATGAAGCTTGACGAAATTGGCAATAACATATCTTTCTTTGAGTATTGTTTGGGACGAAGACTTTAAGCGTCACGCATGCATGGTCTCATGGATGGGAAAAATAATGTCTTCAAAATGTGACACACATTCTTTTTTCTTTGTTTTTTTAACTGCAACTTTTTTACTTTGGCAATGCAAATTTGAAAAAGAAGATAAGAATAAGAATAAAAAAATTATGTGCGGAAATGAATGCATTTATGGTCCAATTTTTCAACGGAAAGTCTGGATGATTTGTAAGGTATTAGAAGACTTGACTATAAACAATGTGATGTATTAATAATAGATGTATTTTGAGTATTGTTGGGACCAAGACTTTGCAAGCGTCCTGGATGGGGCAACGTCTTCAACATGTCAACACACATTCTTTTTCTCTACTTTACTGCTACTTTATATGCTAATGTTGTCATTTTGGAAATCTAATAGATATTCATGCGTTATTATTGACTTAATAGTACCAAAAACTTTTGAAAAAAATTTATAAGTATTTTTGCACCTTATGTTTGTTTCCTTTTGTTGAAATAGTCAATTTTTAATGGATGTTAGCCAAATTTAATAGGATAGATACGTTGCACTCATTAAAATAAGTTTATAGACATTTCAACACTTTTGTTCGGTTAAGAATATTGGGTATTCTTGGAGAAAAAATTGATGAGTATTTTTTTCCCCTTAGCCCTATATTTTAAAAGCTAAAAGTTGTACCCCTCTATTAAAAAATATAAGTATTTTTTAAGATATTGAATATTAAAAAATATAAAACATTTTAATCTTTTAAGGTATAATTATTATTTTTTTAATTGAATAAAATACTTTATATTTATTTTAAACGAAACACCTTATTAAATAGAGATAAATATGAAAATATAGCATTAATTGAAAATAAATAAATACTTTATTGAGGTGAGATATGATTAAAAATGTCTTACATTTTTTAACAGAGGGAGTATTTGTAAATAACATACATTTGAATGATCTATTTGTATATGATCCTAAAAAAATATTATTCCTTGATGCTATGTTTGGATGTATGAGAATCTAGATTTGAATTTAAATTTGAACCAAATTTTTCATTTAAATATATAAAAGTATGTGGATTTGAATTTAAATCAAATCCAAATTCATATTTCGTTTCAATTTTAAATTTTCTCAAAACCATAGCTATTTAAAATTCCAGCTACCTTAATCCTTTCATATTTTTTTCACATTTGTTTTTTATTGATGTTTGTTATTTTCGCCTTTCATCTCATCTCTTGCCCTTGTTTCTTACCCATTAAAAAAAAAAAAAACCGCATGATGAAGTTTCTGGGGGTAAAAATACTGAACAACTGGAATGACTTCTCTTATTGCTATTAGCTTATCACCAGTAGGACACTTTTTTCTTTCTTTCTTTATTTTATCAAGTGTGCGGATACTTCTAACATGTATTACCTATAAATTAAGAAAATTTTATTTTATTTCAAATCTCAGGAGAAATTGATTTATATTTTTAGTTTTATCCTTTTTCATCATTAATCTTTACAATTTCTTAGGTATAATTATTTGGCTTTCATTTTATCATTTACTAACACGAGTAAAAATAAAAAAAATATTTTTGTAAATTAAAAAATGTTTTATATTTTGAACCAACCGTATATTGTAGAAAATGTCTCATGTTATACTTTCTGAGTATTCAAAATTAAAATTTATAGCTAAGAATACTGAAATTTTGAAATACCAAAAAAGGACCATAGTCTTTATGTAGAATTAAATTTTTTTATATTTTTTTTTTCAGTATTTATATTTTATATTTTCAGTACACATATTTCCTCTTAGTCCTTAGTTTTTTAATTTTTCATTTGTCATATCTTAAATAGTATTTTCAATACTTATTTTTTATGTTTCTAAAATTGAAATATACTTTTTTATTTTCAATAATAAAATCATGAAGATGAGTATTGGAAAAAAAAATAAAAGACTAGGTACTGAAAATGTTAAAAATAACTATTAAAATATGTGGAAAATGAGTATTGCGAATTTGAAAAATAAGTAAAAAAAAAATTAAATGAGAAAAGTTTTAATCCCAACTAATGGCCACGGCCTTTTCTGTAATTACATAACTTTAGAGTGTAATTGTAATTAATATTTTTAAAAGGTCTTTAAATATTTTTTTCCCTATAATATGGCCCATGATCAGATGATCTCTATCTGCATTTTGAAGAGCCATTATTGTGCTTATTTCAGTACACGTTCCAGAAGATTAAAAAGACTAAATTTGATGGAAATCGGTGGAGTACCCAAATTCATAGTGAAGGGTTCATTCCAATTTCTTGTGTTGGTTGGCAGTGACTTGCAGAGTCTTTGGTGGAATCATTCAAAATTGGAAATCTACGCGCCATGAAGTTTCCTGGAAAAGTATTGAGAGACTTGAAACAGTATATTCTGCAACTTTAATTTGGTTTTGGCTATTGACTGGATGATCAAAGCATTCGAAGATTGGTCAATGCAATTCCGTAGAATATGAAGTTTTTATTCACGCAATTGACAAATGGCAGCATCTCTTTCTTCGGATATTGTTTGGGACGAAGACTTTACAAGCGTCCTGCATGCATGGGGCAACGTCTTCAACATGTCACCACGCATTCAAATTTGAATAAAAGCTCTCTCTTGAACCCCTTCAAGACTCGACACAAGCCAACAGTATCAAGCAAACCAGCTAACCCTCATTTTTTCACAAGTACAATTCATTGTATTCACCCTCAAGTAATGTATTATGATTTTTTCACGTACATTTGGGTACTTTAATTGATCTCTAAATTTTTTTGCCTCGACACTCTAAAAAAATTGTGGTAAAGGATATTTGAAACTCACAATCATTTGGTCACTGTTGTTTCTAAGACATAGCTTCTCTGGCATATTGCTTGACAGTTTTGAAGGGGCACGATGCTTCGTGACTCAAAACCCAAACCATGCCAACAGATTTACAATTAAGAATAACTGAAAATAAAAAAGTCTCAATAATAATTTATCGGGTATTTTCTTATTTTAAAAGCGGAAATATTTGTAAATGGAATGATTCAATTTTCATTGCGTCCTAAGAAAAATGTTATTGCTTGAGTGATTTTTACTTCGCGAACCGTACGTTCAGACGAGGTGGTAGTGGAAAATTGAGAAGGAAGAATATGAATGGAAAATGAAGGCATTTATGAATCACTTTTTTTTTTCTGTTGGAAATTAAAGACGGGATGATTTGAAAGTATTAGAAGACTTGACTATAACGAGAATATGATGTGGTCATAGATAATTTTTTGGGTATTTAAATGTTTGTTTACTTTTAATTTTGTTAATTAATAATATTTTTGAGCAACGCCTTCTTTTCCAATAATTTTTCACAAATTAATTCGCCATGACCATTCTTCATTGAGTTCATTCTATTCAAATTCATTAACCAGAGAATTTCACTTCATAAATATCATCTATTTTGTTATTTCAACATATAATATCTTCACTTGTAGTATTGGAAAAGTATGATTTTGTTGTGTGTAATAAGTGTGTGGAGTAGAGATACAAAAAAATGTGAATTTTCTACGATAAAAGTGCATAATGTATTCAAAAGAGCGGAGAATCAAACATAAATGAGAAATTTTGAGCCTCGGTCAAATTTTTGTCTATAGGATCAACTTTCAATTTAATGTACATGTAAAAAGCCTGAATTTATTCTCAAACATAAAAGCCTGAATTTATTTGTATTAAAAAAAGCCTAAATTATAATATTTTTCCGGATTTAATTTTATTATGAATATATATATATATTTTTTTTTTTTAAATTTCCAGTCACGTGTATTGGATGTGACTGGAATTGTAGAGAATCCATATTAAGAAACTCTACTTTTTTGAAAAGAGGCTGATGTGTTAGTAACTAGATACTTTAAACTGACAAAATGCTGACATTATCGTCTCCAACATCTGTTAGACATATCGATAGCACATGGAAGCAATGGCACATGACAATGCATGGCTTGTCTGGCAGCGATAATAATATCTAGTCTTGGGTTTTTCAACCTTTCATGCACAATGGTGATATCTATTTGACTAAAAACTGACCAAAAATAGGTGTTTAATGGAGACAGTGTGGCAGACTGACTTCTATAACCTCACTATTATTCCAACCAAAACTCAAACCTTCTCATCTCTTAGTTACACCTCATAATAGACACAAGACATGGGGACACATATAAAATAATAAAAATTAAAATTAAAATACTATAAAAAATAATGTAGATTTAAATTACCAAAATTAATAATTATTTAAATTTAATAAGTTAAGAACTCAAAATCTATTAGTGAAATATCAAAGGCTTAAATTTTTTTAGAACTCTAATATATTTTATTTTTTAGTTTAGTGGGTTTAAAATTGTTAGAGTAGTGGGTGCAAATTTTCAAAAGTTATAATATATACTTGTAAATTACTTCAAGTTGAGTGGAGGCATTTGCCCACCCTCAACTTTATCTAGATGAATCTCGCTATGATGCCTGAAGTAGCTGAGGAACCAAGGGAAAGAAGAGAGAACACTCTCAATATAATATAAAATATATTTTTTTGTTACTTGATGATTCTCCATAAAAGAGGGTAATTCTTTTTATATTGAAATTAAGTAGATAACGCAATTAAATTAGTTAAGGGATGGTTATGCATGTGCACAATATGAAGGGGGTTATAAATGGAAAGAAGCTGAAAGAGTTATGAAATTTAAAGAAGAGTTCATGGAATGAACAATTCAATCGTTTCAGGATGACACGTGAATAAAATATAATATGTTACTTTTGTTTGGTACTGCATCAACAAAATTCAAATCTAATTGGAATAAATTATTGACAAAGTTCATTGGCGCATATAAGATTTCCACTACTGGAGTTAAATATAAATCTAGATAGCATATACGTCACTTTTGCTTTGTTTGATCTTCATTTAGATTTAGTTTTAAAGTTTACTCTTCCAAAATTGAATTTAAATTTCCGATCCGCGACTTAACTCGAAGTTCTTTTTCCTCTTCCACTGAAATCCTAATGTGTTTAAGATTGATATAGAGATTATCTATTAGGTAATTCTACAATGTACATATATAAATTTATCAACTTTATTTTTATTTTCCACTTTTTTTCTCCTAGTACAATGTACTTTTTGATGAATTTTCCCCCCAGCTTTCAACTCATCGGGCTATCACATCAATTAACACTAATTCATTTTGGTTTTGGACATTGAAAAGGACAAGAACACCACTTTTTTTGTATGCGTGTGTGCGCGTGTCTATATATGATGCAAAGAGCTCCTCGCCAAGTTCAATCTACTCCAATTAAGCATGATGGCAAGCTTCACTTCGCTGATTTCATTTGTTCTACTATTTCTGCTATTTGCTGCAACATTCAAGAAAAGCGTGGATAGTACAAACTTGGCTGTCCGTTGCAATGAAGATGATAGAAGGTTGCTCTCGATCTTCAAACAAGGAGTGGTAGATCCAGAAAACCAACTCTCTTCTTGGACTGTGGAAGATGATTGCTGTTCGTGGGTGGGAGTTTACTGTGACAACATCACAGGAAGGGTTACGGAGCTTAATCTTTTCGATTATATATTAGGAGGTGAGATAAATCTATGTCTGCTTCAACTTGAATTCCTCAACTACTTGGACTTGAGCTACAATAACTTTGAAACTGTGAGCATGTCACCATGCAATTTCTCCAAATCTCTTGTTGATGAACACAAATTTGACAACCGATCACTTGCAACTCCTTCTAATCGGTCAGCAAGTTTTTCTGTAGCTCTATGGTTTCTTGATTTTTCTAACAATGATGAGTTAGTCATCAATGATCTTCATTGGCTTTCTGAATTTTCTTCCTTAAAATATCTTGACCTTAGCGGCAATGATCTAGGAAATGAAACCAAATGGCTCCATTATATGGCCACGCTTCCTTTACTCTCTGAGTTACACTTGAGCGATTGTGGATTGAGCAATTTTCCATCCCTTGATTATGTCAATTTTACATCACTTGAAGTTCTTGATCTTTCTTTCAATGAGAATATCAGCTCAGAATTACAAGATTCATTCTTTAACATCACCACTCACATCTATCATCTTGACCTTGGCTCTTGCAATTTCCATGGTCAGTTACCATTATCCCTGGCCAATCTTAAAAGCCTTCAATATTTACAGCTGACATCTAATAGGCTCAAAGGACCAATTCCAGATTGGTTAGGTCAATTTGAACAGTTGCAATACTTAGACTTATCCTACAATCAGTTGAATGGCAATCTTCCAGAAAACCTTGGAGAACTCCACAACTTAAATCACTTAAACATTGAGCACAATTTCTTGGTGGGCATTCTTACAGAAAATAATTTTTCCAATTTATCGAATTTAAGGTCCCTTGACTTGAGTTCGACAGGTTTCGAATTTGATATTGATCCTCAATGGGTCCCACCATTTCAACTTGAGGCATTGCAAATGCGTAACACAAGTATGGGGCCTAATGTTCCAAAATGGTTATATACACAGCGGTTTCTAAAAGCTCTAGACATTTCTAGATCAGGAATTTCAATAATTGATGCAGATGTGTTTTGGGGCTTTGTAGCAGAAATAGCTTATGTTGATTTGTCGTACAACTTGATTAGCGAAGACATATCCAATATCACGGTATTAGCAAATATCTCTAATATCTTTGATGCATCTCACAACTCTTTGTCAGGATCAATTTTCTCGTTATTGTGCCGTCTAGAGAGGAATCGAGCAAGCATGTTGATTTATTTGGACTTATCAAATAATCATTTGAGTGGTGAACTCCCTGATTGCTGGGCCAATTGGACAAATTTAACATACCTTAATTTGGGGAGTAATAGGCTAAATGGTGAAATTCCTCCGTCAATGGCTTCGTTAATGAAACTTCAAACACTCAACTTGAGTGATAATAGTTTCTTTGGCGAATTTTCTTTAGACTTGACAAACTGGAAAGATTTGGGAGACCTCCTCCTAGAGAAAAATAAATTTTCTGGAAATTTGCCAAATACAATGCAACAAAATTTGATGGTTATGAAATTGAGGACCAATCAATTCACAGGCAATATTCCATCACAGATGTGCAACCTATCTTCTTTGAGAATATTGGATCTTTCTGATAATAACCTTTCTGGATCTATACCTCATTGCCTAAATAATATCATGCGCTCAATTCCTGAAAGTCTTGATCTTATGGGTGAGTTTCACTTATTTGCTAAAGGAAGAGAATTGGTTTACTATATGGATGAGTTCTATTTAAAAATGATTGATTTTTCCAACAACAATTTATCTGGAGAAATTCCTAAAGAATTGTTTAATTTGACTGAAATGTGGTCCTTGAACTTGTCCCGAAATCACTTGGTTGGAAATATTCCTAAAGAAATTGGAGGCATGAAAAGCTTGGAATCTCTTGATCTCAGCTATAATAGACTTTCTGGAGAAATTCCTTCAACCATCTCTAATTTGTCTTTTCTCAATTATTTGAACCTCTCATACAACAATTTCGACGGACAAATTCCATTGGGAAATCAAATTCAAACTTTTGATGCTTGGAGTTTTGTGGGCAATCTTGAACTTTGCGGAGATCCTCTTCCAAAGAAGTGCAACATGAAAGAAGAAACTCACAATTCAAAGACTGCTGACGGAAATAAAGATGACAACTTTCTAAAGTCATTGTATCTTGGGATGGGGGTTGGATTTGCAGTGGGCTTCTGGGGAATTTGTGGTTCTCTCTTCCTCATCAGGTCATGGAGACACAAGTTTTTTCTATGGTTTTATCATTTGGTAGATCAACTTTATGTTGCTGTGGTCCTCTGTTTTAAAAACTCCGAATGAACATGAAGAACAAACTATTCTTAAGGTAATAAGCTTGCTGCCTTTTTTTTTTTAATAAGTATTTCTAAATGATTGCTTATTTTCTTCTATTTTCTTCTTAATTAACTGAGTTGTGTTATATTGCTTATTGTTGAATATGTTTTCTCTACGGGATGCAAATGCAACAGGAAGCATGGAATTCAATACTATTTACCATGGAATTAAAGTCTTGATTTCCGCTTCAAGCAACTGGGAGCACTGCTTTGGATTCATATTGCCACGGCCTCTTGTGTTTCCTGTTTAATGTCCTTTCATCATCTTAGCTAGTACTGAATAGTGAAAATAAGGAGATTTTGTAATAATAATTACTAGTGTATATGTGTGTTCTCATGCATATATTGTGAAGAAACTTTTTGTTGAATGGTTTTCCGAGTGATGTATGGCTCTGCTTTAAACTTAGATCATTTTCTCTTTCAATGGACTGTCCTTTTATAACTACGTTACTGATCTTGGTGCTGCAATTTGTGTATGCATTTTCATATGCAATGATTTTAAAGGCATTTGGCCAAAAAATGCATGTATGATTCCAACAAATGCCTCAGGCAGCTTCTCCCAAGCCAATATCCTAAATTTATATGTATATTATACGTCAACAAAAAATTATATTCATACAAATTTTTAAGTCTTTTCAACACGTCTAGGCTTGTGCTAAAATTCTATACAATGGTTCTTCTTCTTCATGCTCCAATAGGTCAAGTGCAGGCCTTGTTTGATCATAAAGAGCTGGTCCACTTTCCCACAGTAAAACTAATTCTAGTGTCTCTCTCATTCACCACTACTTGATCGATGCCAGAAAATCTTATACAAACTAGAATAAGATAGAGCCACAACAAAATTGAAAGTTTATAATAGGTGATCGTGTTTCACCACTACGATAACGTTAACTATGTTCAAAATTGAAAGTTAATTGTCAAGTTCTAAATGTTAACTGAACTATTTGTAGATGACTTAAAGCTGGGATTAATTTTTTTGGCTCTGAGAATGAGTTGTTTTATATCTCTAATTAACTTGGAGGTACCTCTTAGATTTTTTACCTGCAGAAGCTCACTCTTGTTCTGAACTTAGGTCCAATGATTGAGAGTTTGGCAAATTTCTCTGAACACACGGCATCCTTTCTGGCATACACAACCTTCTTATTAATGCCCTGAATATTGAAACATCAATGCAAAGACCTCTTCTAAGAAACCCATCTGGGAGTGTAACATCTGCCTCTTCATTGTCTTTACCGCAGTAACCATCTACTATCCATGAATAAGTGTATTGACTGGGGCAAAACCCAGCATCAAGCATGGAAAACAACATCCAGCCTCTAACATTTCCTAACTTTCAATGCAGATTTCATGTCTCCGATCTTACAGAAAGCATTTATCAACGTGACTTTTCTTTCACTCATTTCTGTCAAGAGTTTATTTGCATCTCTTATTTTGCCATCCTGACACAGCTTACACAAAATTGAGTTACAAGTAACAACGTCAGGGTGCAATCCCTTAGCCTCCATCATCTCACGCAATTTCAGAGCTTTCTCAAGGTCAGTTATTTTACAATACCCATCAGTCAATTTAGTGTGTGCAACATTATTGGGAATTGCAGCTTTGATGGTGCTGATGCTTCTCCCATCCTACCCTCTCTACAAAATCCATAATTAAGAGAACTGTAACTGACAATGTCAAGATTTATTCCTTCTCTTTCCTTTCTGTCCTGGATAGAAAAAGCCTCACAGTGCATACTTCTCTTGCAATATAATGATATCGAAGTATCGTAAGTGAAAATATCAGGAAACACGCCCTCGCTTCCATCTCATTCAGTAAAGGATCTGCCCTCTGTACATCTCCTGATTTGGAACGAGCATGGATTAACACATTATAGATATGTATGTTAGGAATAATACTAACTTGAACTATTTGTTTGTAAACCATCCATACCACAGTATAGGCATGCAAGTGAGGTTTCAATTTATATAGCCTCATCTGGTCAAAAACCGGAATGGAATCATCGGTCAATGTATTACAAGCCAGCTCAATATATGTGAATTCACTTCTGAGTCATGTTGAATTTCAATCGAAGTTCTCAAAACTGATGGCGACGTCCCTGTGGGCAATTTTCTGCATCTCTCGTGTAGTACTAAAATGTTTATACTTGGCGAGGATATGAAGCATTGACCATGAACATTGCAAAGAGTTCTTATAATTTGGAATCGATTTGGCCTATTTGAAGAATGATAAGGAATGAGATAGAGCAAAGACAATAAGAGAGAGTTGCAGGGACCTGGTGAATCGTGGAAGAAGTGAGAGTAGAAGCCCTCTCCAGCTTCAATAGATTACTCCATGACCCTTCACAACGATAGCAAGCACGCTCAAGATGAATAGGTTGGGTTTTTGAACCACAAAAAATTTCGGAAATTGGTTCAGAGGCAAAAAGAGATCAAGCTCGGCTACTTGACTATCTAAACTGTCGTCGTCACCAAAGCAGGATTGGCGCCTTCTTCCTCGAACAGTCAAAATGGATTGTGATTCTTAAAGTTCGCCTGTAATGAAAAAATCTATTGAGCACAAAAGAATATTTTTTTAAACAACTATTTAGCATATTTCACTATTAAAAATCAATGTATTATCTTTAAAATACTTGATTATAAAATTAAAAAATTATCTTGATGATTATAAATAACATTTAGCTAATCATAACTTATTTTTACTAATGATTTTCAAATAAATAAACTTGAAAAAGGGAAAAAAAACTTTGATAAATTTACAAAAATATATATAATAAATATAAAATTTGGTTTGGTTTGGTTCAAGTTTGCTAAAAGAAAAAACAAACCAAGCTTTATTTATAATCAGTTTTGACCAGTTCATGTTGGTCTGATGTGATCAGTTTGGATTGATTTTGAACACCTTTACCTTAAACAACTTTCATAAGTGTTATCTTTAATCTTCTTCTACCTCTCTTTACAGGGCTCAAGATTATCCTTTTCACTCTTTTCATCAATGCTTTCCACAACCTTATCCGTCTAAACCATTTCAAACTATTTTCAATCATTCCTCCTTCAATAGATTTCACACTCACTTTTTCCTATGTACGCTTATTTTGGATTTTATCTTTTTATGTATACCCACACATCCATCTCAACATTTTTATATTTGCTACTCCAAATTTATACTCATGTTGTCCCTTTAAATCACAATATTCACTATCATATAACATGGTTATTCTTATAATAATTCAATGGAACTTCCCTTTAAATTTATAAGATATCATTGGATCACAAATAACTAATTTAACCTTTCTCTATTTAGACCACTCAGCTTAAATCCTACGCGCAATATCCCCAACAATTTTCCACCATGTTGAATAATTATTTTTAAATATCTAAACTTTTTCACTTGTAGTATGATTCAATCTTCCAATCTCACTTTCAAATTACTATTAACTAACCTCTTATCAAAAGTGAAATGCAAATATTATATCTTACTCCTATTCAAGTGGAAACCGTTCGACTCTATAACTCAAGTTTGTAGTTAATATCCTCTCTTGACTCTACAATAAAAAGTATATTATCCCAAAATGCATGCAACGAGGGATTTTTCTTGAATATGCTCAGTTAGAGTATCTAGAACCAGGTCAAACAAACAAGAGCTTAAAGATGAACCCTATTATGGGTCAATTGTGATCCCTTATAAAAATAAATTAATATATATGATAACTTTTTTTATGTGTGTTTATATTATATTCTTACATAATTATGCCAATAGAGGAAGCTGATGTAGTGGTAGTTGGGCTGGATTATTTCCATTTGGTCCCAAGTTCGAACCGTAGTGAGCCCATGGAACATTTCTTTTTTCCTTTGCTGATTTTTCTTATAAAATTTCCAAATTACCCCTATTATAATCAGACTTTTTTTTTAAAACTCTTCCTTCATTTTTCGGCGAGGATTCTAGAGCAAAGAGAGAGGGAGAGTCGGTGGAGAGAGTAAGAGGGATTTTAGGTCTAGAAATTTCACTTCCTTCATATACAGCAGTCACTGGTGTGGATCACTACAAAGGTTCCGTCTGCAGTTGCTAGTTGATTGAGTGTGTGAGTACGTGGCTTCCTTCTTCCCTGCTGTGACGTCGTCTGGTGTGCATGCGGGCTTGAGCTGCAACTTGCTTTCTCCTCTGTTCTTGGTGTTATAAAAGAGCATGCTAAACCTTCTCCTTCTTCCTCCTTGAATTGTTACTGCTTCTTTTCAGTTTCAGCTGTTATTATCACCGGTATGCTTGCTTCTACTCCATCTGTCGTTGGTCAGTCAACTCGTGATCCTTGCACTCTGTTTTTTTTCTATTTATTTCATATTACCGAGCTCTTTCTCTCTTCTTTATCCAGGTGTATGTGTGAGTATTTAGATCTTCCTTCCCTTTATTATCACTAGTGATTATCGTTGGAAAGAGTTGGAGACTTGTGCTGCACCGATTGCTCCGGCTGTCTTTCATGTTCTTTGTCTCTGTTTTTCCTCTTCATTTTCTGTTCTGGTTCTATCTGTGGCGTCACCTTCGAGTAATAGCTGGGATGAGAAACCAAGTTGCCAAAGCTACGACAGTGCTGTTATGAGTGTGGATTATTGTTGCTGATTCATTTACTATGTTTCCTTACGAGTAGTGCCCAGTTTTCTACTTCCCTGTTCTGCTACAAGCTTCATTTTTTTTCTTCTCTCTCCTTTGCTGTTCGTTGCTGCCTGGGTCAGTCAAGTTGAGGTGAGAAGTTTAGTTTTTGTGTCATCAATTTTGTTGGGTTGTGCACGTAGGCTTCTGTTGTTGTACGTAAGAATATAAGTGCTGTATATGTACGTGAAAATGCAGAAGTTAGTATGTGTGCCTTGCTATTACTTCTCAGTTATGAGTAGTTATGGAAGCTTCAAATTTTTCTGCTGTCACCTGTACAGATACATAGAGAGGAGAAAAACAAAATTTAAACAAGAAACCTATCTG